TCTCTCTCTCTCTCTCTCTCTCTCTTTCTCTCTCTCTCTCTCTTTCTCTGTCTCTTGTTATTTTTCTAAACCCCTCACCCACCCATCCACCCACGCACAATCACACAAATATCACATAACCATTTCAATAGCTTGCCATAGACATTGTCACTGTCAAACAGCTTCAAAATCCCTCCCTCGCTGTCCCAGAGCCGCTAGCTGATGGCGCCACTTGATTCCTGCCTGCCACTGATGATGGCGCTCCTAGTCCTGTCGCTGCAGTGACGAACCGGTTGTTCAACAGCGTCTCCTCCGACAAAAACGCCGCGGCGTAGATCTTTGGCAGGAACAGAAAAATGATGGCGACGGAATGGTTGAGCAGGAGAGCCAAAGACAGAAGTAGCACCCGCACGAAATGACGATCAGCTGTGAAGTAGGTGGGCACGAAAGCCAGCCAAATGACCAAAGTAGTGGACACGCACATGGAAGTGAACCGAGACTCGTTGAAATTGTCTGGCAGACGTCGGGTTTTAAAAGCCAGGATCGAGCAGAGGGTGACGAGAACGAGGTTGTAGACGAGGAAGGAGGATAGGCCGGGGAGGGTGAGGTCACATGACAGCTCCACCAGCTTCTCTGTCCGCACGGGCTGTGTGCGACTCGCGGTAGGCCGGAATACGATGTACGTCGTCAGGCAGAGAAGGATCTGGTGACGACAGTGGTGGTGGGGACAGGGGGGGGGGAACAAAAGGGGTAGAGGTAAACACAGTTTATTTAGGAAATTTCAACGTTTTCAAATGAATGAGTAGTATAAACTAATGAATAAATATGATGTATGTCGTGGAGCAGAGAAGGGTCTGGTGACGTGAGGGAGGGGGGAGAAAGAAACAAAAGGGTAAGGGGTTAAACACAGTTTATTTAGGAAAATTTAAACGTTTTCTTTTGTTGTTGTTTTTTTTTTAGGGGAGGACACGTGTTTCACTGCGCTCGCAACTGCAAAACGTTTTCAAATGACTGACGTATGTCCTCCGACCGGCAGAAGATCAAAAGAAATATTGCTGCACATTTTGAACCACCATACACAAATCAGAAACACAAATGTGAAAACTTCATATTAATCATGCTGTTGCCTTCCCCTTTACATGTCAGACAAAGAAAACAATTTTTGAAAACTCCGTAAATAAGAAAGCTGCGCATTGTTTAAGTGCCCCAAAACGACGCATATTCGTGCATTGTGCGATCTCAATGAGCGGGTGGCCTTGGTAGCTTTATGGTTATACTCAGTGCCCACTGGCACAACCGGTTCGGTTCGGTTTTGTTTAAATGCCAGATTGAGGGCGCAAAGCGGCTGCTGTGGCACAAACCGATCGCCCGACTCGTCGCCTCAAAAACAAACGCGTTTGATTTCAGGCGACGAGTCGGGCTATCGGTTGGTGATCAGTTTGTCTATCTCCCAATGGGCACTGAGCATAATGGTTAAGCTAATTAATACGTAAGTGGGAGATCCCTGGTTCCGGAGTCCGAGCCTCAGCTCAGCCCGACATTGTGTCCTAGAAAAGGCACTTTATAAGATGTTCCTATTTTGCTAGGTCCTTTTCGAGAGTTACATTAAATTTGAAAGTCCCGTGTCTTGAATAACCTAATGGTGTTAATAATGGCGCTAAACTGGTACTATTCCCTATTTCATTTCTCAATGACTGGAAAATTTTGGTGAAAGATTTTCAAATAGTATAGTTAGGTTAATTAAGAGGCGGGACCTCGGAGTTTAACATCCATCTCCGAAAAGACCGGACAAAATGGGAAATTCATGTAAAGTGTCTTTCCCAAGGACACAACGTCGGACCGAGCTCACGCTCGAACTATCGAACCCGCAATCTCACGATTAGGGGAATGATAGACTAACCACTGGGCTACCGACGCCACATTAAAAAGATGATGCGTGCCGGGCGTAGAAAGTTAGAAAGACTCCCCAGTACACCAAAGGCACACTCCAACCAGCCATGTAGTTAATCTAGTATTTAAAAAAAACAACTGAACATCAATCATCTAATCAATGATGGTCAAAGCCATGATCTATCTTAGCTGACTTGGTGCAAGTTAATATTGTCCGAAGAGAAGGTCCGTTTTATTTTTTAAACTGTTCTCTCTCATTAGGCTTATTTTCGGTGTTTTCATCGACTCTTACAATATCCAAAATTTCCATTCCAATTGCCAACGTACTGATTATGTGCCATTGCTATCGGTGTGGGGTTAGGGAGTGATTATAGGTCTGGCATGTCTCTGTTTCTGCTCAATTAGATTGTCGTAAAAGATTTTCGTACAGACCGCCATCCTCATCATCTTTCTCTGTCTTCGTCTTTGTTCTCTTTTGAAGGTTTTTGCAAACAGCAGTCGTTCCTGTTGGTTTTTCTGCACCTTTTCTTTAATGTCTAAGGCTTTGCCTTTATGTATGTTCTTCTGTCACTCTCTTTTTTTGTCTGTCAGTCATCTCCTCCTTCCCTCTCTCTTTCTCTCTCTCTCTTTCTCTCTCTCTCTCTCTCTCTCTCTCTC